AGCTTCTGTACACTTCATCAATGTCGTAGGACGTAAGGTAAACTACAGACTCGCACTTGAGCATCCGGCGTGGGTCCTGCACGATTACCCTGAAGATGCTGGCGCGCGCTCATACGGTCGCACAACCGCGAAGTATGAAAGCGGTCGTATTTTGCATAATCGAAGATCACGCGCGCACCTGACGAAGCTCAAAGGAAGCAAAACAGATGTTTCAATTTGAATCGCTTTACATGACTTGCGCAGTGCTCGTTGTTATAATGTATACATCACCCATTCAAGAGCGAAAACCCTTTTGGTCTCCATTGTGTGTAATCTTTTTTTCAGATGTCAATCACTGTAAGGAATGTAGAAAGTCTCGCCGTGCTCAACCAACTTGATGGGTCACATCCAAAAGCTGGCCACAGTGCTTCACCAGAATTATTTGAAACAACCAGATTCATTTCCCTGTCGCCGTTTCCCCAGATAGGGTACTCTGTGAGAACCGTTGCGTATAAAGGCGCCGTTTGCTTCGCATTGCTGAAGGAGCACTGTATAACTCACAAAATGCCACATTCTAATAAGGCATGTAATTGCAGGACCCGCAAAATGAACGTGCAAAATTGATTGAATTGCTACGACATTGATGAAGTGTACAAGCTGTTTCCAACTGCTCTCTTGAAGAAGCCATTTCGAGCACAGAATGCTTGAAGTTAAGGAAGCGGGTACACTTCAGAGGAAATGTCCCCATATTGATGGGCGAGGCGCCTAAACATGATAAGGAGACGTTTGTTCCTCCTTACTCGACTTTACCTCCAGTTCAACGGAAAATTTGGTGGAGACGTCACATCATAAACATTATTGTACAAGATTCGATGCTTTTGTGAGTATAGTGTGGTGATATTCCCATGTTGAGCTCATAGTAGTCAACTTAAGATGCTACTCGCCGTCGCGGTGGTTGATTATGATGCTCTAGCGCCGAAACCGGCACCGCGACGCGCGCGTCGCCAAGGCCGGATGCTCAAGTGCGCGTCTGTAGTTTACCGTTACCCATGTCGTAGCAATTCAGTCAATTTTGCACGTTCATTTTGAAGGTCCTGCAATTACATGCCTTATTAGAATAAGGCATTTTGTGAGTTATACAGTGCTCCTTCAGCAATGCGAAGCAAACGGCGCCTTTATACGCAACGGTTCTCACAGAGTACCCTATCTGGGGAAACGGCGACAGGGAAATGAATCTGGTTGTTTCAAATAATTCTGGTGAAGCACTGTGGCCAGCTTTTGGATGTGACCCATCAAGTTGGTTGAGCACGGCGAGACTTTCTACATTCCTTACAGTGATTGACATCTGAAAAAAAGATTACACACAATGGAGACCAAAAGGGTTTTCGCTCTTGAATGGGTGATGTATACATTATAACAACGAGCACTGCGCAAGTCATGTAAAGCGATTCAAATTGAAACATCTGTTTTGCTTCCTTTGAGCTTCGTCAGGTGCGCGCGTGATCTTCGATTATGCAAAATACGACCGCTTTCATACTTCGCGGTTGTGCGACCGTATGAGCGCGCGCAGCATCTTCAGGGTAATCGTACCGGGACCCACGCCGGATGCTCAAGTGCGAGTCTGTAGTTTACCTTACGTCCTCTGCTAGCCACTGTGCCTTTTTGTCCCTCTACGTCGCTCACCATAGCTTCTTATTGCTGTTGCAGCGTGTATTTCACTAACACTTTTCAAATGACTTATTTGTGCTTTATGGTGTTTTCTGTCAAGTTACTGCCAACTCAGCTCATAAAGTTGTCACTAACGAGCTTACCTTTCTCGGCTTTTTTACAAAGATACCATAGGAACTTTTCATTTCCTCTTCATATGCCTGCTATCCTTCGTAACTGTCCGTGATCAGCAACCCGCTGAAGAGGGCAGTACCCGGTGGCGAAACGGACTTCACCACCAATGCAGAAACGATGGAGAAACGGAAAGGTTGGAGAAACGGACTTCACCACCAATGCAATCTCAGTGTGTGCCAAATAAAGTACTTCTTTCACACTGACTTGCACTGTTTTCGATGCAATTGACGAAGATCTCACTTGCTAGGCATACTCGACATTAGAAGTAGAAAAAGCCTAGAAAAATGGTTTAAAATCGCGTTTTCCCTAGCAAATTTTCACCCATTTTTTGGCCTTCTCAGAAATGCGTAGCAAAAACGAAACCCATTTTTGTGATCCTTATATGGACCCCTACAACATGCAACAAACATTTCTGAAAAGCGCTCCATGACCTGAAAATCCTCCCTTGTTAAAGGAGGGAAGGATCACTATCGCATGCAACCAGAAAGATTGCTGCTTTCCTTCACTGTTTCCCTAACTGCCCAAGCACACTGCTCCTCACGAAAGCGATTCGAGCCTGTGCTACAAGCCACCAGGAGATTTCGGACCAGGCGGATGTGATATTCCAGTTAGGGAGGTCAACCTAGCCAAGGAGTCATCTTATGAACCAAGTCTGTCCCCAGAAAAGAAGCTGGTCAAAACATTAGCTCAGTTTCGGTTGGGAACAGTAAAAGTAAATAGTGCCGCCGCTCCTCTTTGTGAAGCTTTACTCATGTCTCAAGAGAGTTTGCTTACGTTTCCCAAAGAGTTTGAAAAAGAAAAAAAAGGGTGGAGAATTAGTAAGGGAAAAACAGTCGATACCGTGTTCTTCCCAATTGGATTTTTATACCAGGATTTGAAAAATCGTTGCGAACAGAGTTGTGGAATAATTCCTTTACTGTTCTCTCAACCTTTTTGAGTAAGCATAGCGCAGTCACTTGACCGTTTGATCTCCTTTTATCGTTATTGCTTGCCATACCACCACAACCTTCCTTGCACCAATCTATCCACACTCCTTTCGCCAAGTTGGTCTTTCATGCCCAAATTTGGACAGGCTCGTGATGGTACTGTATTTGTTTTTTTCTTTACTCATGATAAGTTTGTATTCTTCTTTAATATTTGATTGGGTGTGAATATGGGGAAGTTTGGCTTCATTGCGTAAAGTCAAGGAAACGAGGAGCTGAGGGAGGGGTGGGGTCGTACTTGGTTTGAAAAAATTTCTGAAAGATGATCTTTCTTGCTTCTTCTTGGATACTATCGGAGTAGCGGTGCTTCGTTGTAGGGAGAGGGGAGAGCCGTATTTGAATTCTGAGAGAAAATCGCGGAACTTGGAAAAAAAATCCCTTGCTCCTTGAATTCTCGCGGTTCTTCCTGTTTCACATGTACCATTATGAACCCTCTCCTCTTGCGCTTAACACCTCGATCGTATCAGAGGAGGGAATGGGGGGAAGAGGTCGTACCAAGCCACCCCTAGAGGGAGAAAACTCGACCAAGATCCCTAACCAATAATGGGACCTGGAGTACCGTCCAGCTTGAATGATTGATTCCGTGCCAGTGAATCTGAACAATTCCTGCGAGGTGGGTCCGGGTGATGTGAGAGATGAGCTGGTCGGCAGCTGTAGGATTGTGCCACTTTCGCCTTCCGAAAGCGCATTAAAATCAAGCGAGAAGGTAGTGAAGGGTGAATGTCTTTTGACTCTCCAACACACGTTCACAACATGCGGTACTGTCCTCATCCTTACGGACTGTCGGGCGTGTCAGCCAGTGGGAGTACGCACACTGTTGAAGCCGTTCTCAGCCTTTTGTTGAAACGCGTATGCGACAAAAAGTGGTAGAAAACGAGTAATACGAAGGATATAATACAGTAATGTCACTTGCCCGCTTCAACAATTGGTGGAGAACGACTTCAGTACCGCGCCAAACGCAGCCGCACTGACACGCCCCGACAGTCCGTAATGATGAGGATTGTATGTGCGCCCATGCTGAGGTCCCGCAGCGAACAACATGAAGGGCAAGCTGTCGATCGCAGTCCAGCGTAGATAGCGTAGTGTTGTTTGAGAAGACAAAGAACAGCTTCCTGCCAGACCAGCGGACGCAGACAAGAAGCACAGTTAGTCGTGTTCGATTACATATATAGGTGGTACTGTTTTAGGTAGGAGTCCCAGACCATGCACCTACCACTAGCCTCAGCCTCACAATTTCACGCCTTCAAGTGAGAAATAGGCACAATGTGGACCTGCTCACCTCGCACATGCTAAGCGCCAGAAACGGAGGTGACCTGCGAGTGCCACAGCACGTTTATTTAAAAGAAACCAGCACCAGTTTATGCGCGCCGTCGTCACGTGGGTATCTCGAGCGGCATCAACCTCTATGGCTACCTGCCAACCAAGGGTATATCATCGGGTCGTGCAAGATAGCACTCAGGTATCGCCTTTCGCAGCCCTGTGCAATACCGCTGCGACCCACACCTTTGCTTTTAACAAGTTTTCCCACAGTTTCATGTCGAGCGAGGAGCGGCAGGTATATAGTAAAGCGCGCCTGAAACGGGAAAATAAATGGTCGAAAAGTTCCCCAACACCATGCATACCCTCCCCCGCCCTTCCCCAGATCGGCGACCAGATACAACTCCCTGATAGGATTCGCAGAATTATGGTGTTTTCTGCACCAACTACCTTAGCAGTCCTTTCTCGAGCATTTTTTCTCGGTCGTTGATGATGCACTCAGCTCTGGCAACTGGATTCATTTACGGGATTCATTACTGCAGGCACTGTGTTTCAGTGGAGTGGTTGGTGGTTTGGTGCGGTGCCAGCGCGTTTTCTACCACTTGTTGTCGCTTGCCCGCAACAACAACTGGTGGAGCACGGGCTGGCGCCGTGCCAATCCCAGCCCTGACGCGCCATATGCAGTGAATCCGTGTGTACGTGAATTGCTTTCATAGCGAGTGTTAATTCCGATTCTGTGATTGTCGCGTCCGAAGGTTCGGAATTCGTTTCTTTTTGCTGTTCCTAATATCACGATAAGAAGTGAAATCTGTCTGTACAAGCAGAATGAATGAAAATGTTCTTCCGGTGAATATAACAATAGTTTTGATGAGGAATGCACTTTAAAAAGATTTATGTATGAATTTACTACGATGCACAGCTTTTTTTTTGCTCTCTCTTTTATTCTTTTGATTTTGGCTCCATTCGTTTTGAAGATGGCACACTTTCCTTTGATTTCTGCTCCTTTTTCGATTCTAAACCTTTTGAGGCCTCTCCTTTCTGCTGCTCCATAATTTGATCAGATTTCTGGCTTCTGGGCTGTTGATGCTTTCGCAAAAGATGTTCAGGAGGAGAATTTCCAGGTGGGTAATAACCCTCAGGTGGATAGCCCTCAGGAGGATAACCTGGAGATGGGTAGCCTTCAGATGGATAGTAATGTGGAGGATTACCATAAGGTGAGTAGCCTTCGGGTCCATACACTTGTGGTGGGTATCCCTGATAGGCATATGCGTCAGGGTGATACAGCGCTGGAGGCCCGTACTGGTAGAAGTAATCGTCTTGTTGATAAGGGGAATCATATCGGGCAACATGCCCGGGCTGCTGGCCTGAAATATTGAGCACTTTGAGTGTTTCATGGGGAAAGATCGCGAAACTAGAAAGACGACGCTTCGTCGATCACTTCTGGGGTAAGAAGATGGGTAGTGATTTTTGGCGCTATTATGCTCAGTGATTGGATTTCCCTTCAGAATCACACCGTTTTCAGCTGAACAGATGGGCGGAGAGTGACAAGTGGGATGCGGAGCAGACAGTCATGATAAGCTGCGCCACACCACATGCTGCATTGTGCATTTGTGCCATGCACCGCAATTCTTTATGTGCATCAGTTTGTCAATTATAGCAGCGAAACTCGCATGAATCCGAGCCAAAACAAAACCCCATGGCGTGCGATATCAAATTTTCCTCTCTTCTTGGCACTCATATTGAACCAACTAGGCAGGACAACTCGTCTGTCTGGCGCGACTCGCTGACCACGCCCTTCACAGTATCACGATTGCCTTACTGTCCCCCCCCCCATGACTGTTGTGCTTTCCTCGTCTGTGTTGTCCTGGTCATAATACAGAGAAGGGAGGGGCACCGAGGAAGAGTTAGTCGTTGCGAGTTCCAGTTCGATTTTTCCCCCACCCGATTACCGTGAAATAAGTCTTGAACTAGACACTTGATTCATACACTCGAAATCCGGGAGTTGCTAGGGGCGTGGCTGCGTACTTTTCTCGATCATGTAGTAGGATGCGTTTTTTGCACGGATATTCCCATATGAAACATGTGTCAACCCATATTGAGCTGACCAATATCATGAGTACAACTGGCTCACAAAAGAAGGATTCCAGCACTAGGTCAGCCCCCGCCACTTTCAAAGTGCGCGCCACGCCCTCTCCCTCTCAGTGATATGAAGTGTGTTACTGAAAAGCTGCATGTGCACGGCTCACTCTTGCCCAAGGAACCTCTGAAAACGGCTGTAAAAAGATCGGTAGCTTGAAACATCATTTTGCTCCTGCATGAAGTCAACTGCTGAGGCTGCTGGTGGGTGGTGAATTCATAGAGCTTCTACAAGCTTAATTCTGACCATCTCATTGGTAGAAAAAGACCCGATAACCATTAGAAAAGATAGCACTTACCGTCAAAACCGCCTTTGCCATTGCAGATCATATACCACAAAACACCACAGCAGCATACAGCCAGAGCTATGGCAGCGATTATGCTACAGCGGGATGGCCCATATGATCCAGTCGGGTTGAATGTACCCTCGAGTGACTCACCCAATGCACATTCCAACATTGCTCAGGCCTGCATCATCATCCGCAGGACAGCAGTCAGTACCACAACATAATTCAACATCTTTACGACATGCCCACGTAATAACTTGTGGTTGCGTACCGTTCCTGTATTGTATCTGCAAAAACGATAATTAGGTAATTGGTATGTATGGGTATTGTGTATTAGTATGGTATTTCCGGGTATGTGACAAGAAGATCGTGATTCGCCGCGCCAGTGGACGTCGCGTGCGACGTCGCGCCCGCTAATGACAGCGATTTTCAGAGCTCATCATCGAGAACAGACAATGTGTGACCAAAAATAGACATAGGCGTCTGCAGTGTTCTTGTATACGTGTAATCCGATGCTCCAATCGGAAGGGTAATGCAAATTAGGGAAACGTCGCGCCCAGTGCCGCGCGTGGCGGCAGTTTACGGTTCTCTTACCCTATTTCCCCTGTGTTTTCGTGTTATTTTCTTTAACCATTCCTTATTTATTCCTTTTTGTGAGAGTTCTCCAGCTGCTTCAGGAAAGGACACAGTCCCGGGAGGTGACTTGTGTTACTACACCCTCCAAAATTTCCTCGTTAAATTCGGCCGCCAAATTTCTAGAATTCTCCAGTATTTCGAGTGACGGCACGCGTGATAAGGGAAAGTTCAACTACCGCAACAAATATTTCTTTCTTTTAACCTGGGCATTTGATACTTATAGTTATTAGAACTATAAGTATAAAATGCCCAGGTTACAAGAAAGGCGAACATGGAACTTACTACCGCAACAGTTCCGCTGCGCTAAGCTCTCCGACAGCAACAAAAATTTTCGAAGAATCCAGTAGGATTTGGTAAGATGGTAGGTTGTGAAAGGGGACCCTGACTGAAGGAAGAAATTTGGCTGGAGACGGGGGAGGAGGGGAGCGGCACTCACTCGTGCTGGGTGAGATCTCCCACAACGTGATGATGTGCTCGAACCTAGAACACCTAGAAGGCACGCGGTTTTGGATACATTGCACTGAGACATTCGGAGTTGATTTTGTCGCAAGCAGTTGGAGCGCTTCAGGAGGCTGAAAGCGCACCTACCCTCCCCGTTCACCAACTCTTCTCGCAACTGCGTTTTCCACAAATACTAATCGCTTCAGGAAACAACCACTTGCGATAGTAATGCTGCGGTGGGGCCCATTTCATGCCTCCTGACGAGCCCCGGATGATTACGGAGATATACCCTTACTAAATAGTACTCACGCTATCCAAAACTTTATCAGGTTGCATCGTTGTCGACGGGAATGGAATGGTAGTGAGTAGTGATGTTGTGTTCGATGACGAGGGCGGTTCGCGTTTCGCTCTCACTGACTCACCGGACAGCTGAAATGGAGAAGGGCGATTTATTTCGAGGGGTTTCGAAGGAGCAATCCACGCTATCGTTATGGGTGGAGCCCGGCAATAATTGTCCCTCTCTCATTGGTGCGTCACTTCTAGCAAAGACATAAGGTAGAGGTGTAAGTCAATGACGAAAGCGCAATGCTTGGCCTGGCACCGCCTCTGCGACCTGCGTGGACTGTGTCTTCAAAGGACATAATCGTACTGCTGGAACGAAAAAAGGCTACTCCTCAAAATGTACCCTTTTTTGTATATTCGAGAATGTATGAAGTTTCTAAACCCTCAATGCCTTCAAGAGGTTATGTCATCTCAAAGGCAGATATCGTGATAAGCGAGAGGACACTGATAAAGACAAAGATAGTCTTTCCCCATAGTGCGCCCGTCTTTCTGAGGTGATGAAGGGGGAAGAGGCAGTCAACTTGAACTCTTCTACGCCTATATATCAGCGTGGAATGTGTCTTTGAATCAACTGTTTACCCTGTGTGCCGTCATATTCCCTTTATTAGAGGTAGACGAGGCAGCATGTTTAGGATGCCGCGATGCTTGCAGTGCCACTCTCGCAGGTCCACCGCATCTTAGATCATACTGCACGCATGGGTAGTAACATATGGAAACGGATGATTTTGTGATTCACTTTTTTTTGACGGGGGGGGGGCATTTTCTACTGTCATTGCCCCCCTAGTTCCGGTTTACAAGTCCCACTCTGGCGAAACCTGTGAACTCTTCTAAAGCTGGAGCAAAGTTGTCAAGCCATTATGGTAAAACTTGTGAACTCAAAGAGAGGGTGTCAGACAGGTCGACGCGTCGAGGGGAAAGAGCAAAGGTGCGAAATGCCCCTCTGTCGCCGAACTGCGCCTGATGTTGTTGTTGATGATGTAAACGATTTAAATATTCATAATGTGTAACACTGGCCTCCGACAGCTCCCAAAGCTCCGCCTAAGAACGCATCTCTGAATGAATGGCCACTCGAATACTAACCAGGGCCGGCACCTGTGCGAAACCTAAATTTTCTGTTTTCAATACAAACAAGTTGGTGCGGGAAACACTACTATGAGTACTAGTGAAGTTTGAAATGCCAAATTTCTGGGATCTTCGGCGTTGTAATGGAAGCGCGCCGAGAACTGGATTTTCTCGGCGCGCTTCCATTACAACGCCGAAGCAACATAGTGCCCTACTACCACGCGAAAAGTGTGAAACGCGTCACAGTAATCGAGGGGGCGGAGGCAGTGAACGACTGTGCCTTCTCATTGATGCACCGCTCCTTTCCAGGCGGGAACGAGGGACGCTCAAAGGAGAGGATAGTTTCTCGTGTTTTCATTCCGTATGGATCCCTTCTCCGTATACGACGAGTATGCCTATAGCAGTACACAGTATACCTTTTTATCACACAGAGTGCACGGCAAAAACGCTAGCAGGTCGTGACTTGGCTCTGCCCTCGTTTTGTCTGGTCGTCTCAAACGATAGTAAGTCTAGAGAGGAGGGTGTCGGGACAAAAAAAGGACACTACGCCCGAGGCACATATCAGTGAAGTTCACGCAGCGCTAGTCGAAGACGTGTCGATACTACTAGGTACAAGCGGAAGATACTTAAGATGTTCCCTGATAAGCAGGAGTAGGCTCGCGCGCCACCTTCGTGTACATCGAAATATGGAGCCACCTGAAATCACACCCGAACTGACGAACGCCTATGGGAATTCGCGTCTTCTCCAAAAGATGCCAGGATGCATCTCTTGTAACGATAGTCACCCATAGATCGCTGGCCTGAGGACCAGCACTCTGGATCTGGATTGACCTCCATAACCAGATAGTTTCGACAACGTCGCTATCGTCCAGGAGTATCGCTTCTCTGCAGTCATCAAGGCTCGGATGATGGTGTGGAAGTTGCTGGGTCGAGAAGACCGATATTGTCTTCGTGAGTTCCGGACCGAAAGTGAACGCAGCTTGTTGACATCTGAAGAGCTGTTGAGAGAATGGTCTTGCCTTCATGTCATCGTCTACCATCGTGAAAACCTCGTACTGCTACAGACTAACGCAGCACCCATGAACAAAAGGAACGAAATTTCTCAGCTCCCTTGGGAGCGAAGGGCATTGGGTACCTGAAGAAGATGGAATATCTAAGGTGGTCACCTGACCTAGATCCCCCTAGATTACCGGTATGGGCGTTGGTCAATAAGGGTCTACAGTGGGCCGAGAACATCAACGACCTCGCCTGACTCAGAGCACGAATTCAGCCGATCGGCACGGGAGAGGGCTGTAGTTGTGCTTTGGATATTGAGGTTGTGTTGTTGCGGTGCGCGAGAATCTTGCGAGGCGTGCGCCACTGATGACCGGTTTTACACTATTGGGGGGGCGCGTGCGTTGGCCCAGGGGTGGGAATCTTTGGCCTTTGTCTCGAGCGCCTGACCAACCCGCTTCCACGTTTCACAAGCGAGTGCACCTCCTCGCGCAACGAAAGCGTCCGTCTCGTTCAGAAGCAGCCGCCAGGATTAAAACGCGTAATCGTGTTCAAGGAAAAACGCGCAGGCAGGCACGAGACTTAAATTCAGTGCTCGTAATTGTGTGTGCAGATTAGCGCACAGGGGTTGAGTAGAAGCGGTTCCCAATTGTTTGACAGGCCATGAAAAGCATTCACAGTGTGTTTAAAGCTGGGCCCAAATGACTTCCGCCGTTTCCTACTCGTTGTCGATTACACCATCTTATTCTGATACTGGCAATTAATGTTCTTAGTTAAAATGCCGCAGTAGCTGTTTTAGAGCACTGACTACCGCCAATACCTCCACGACTTCCTAGAAAGGGCCATGGTTGAAAATTATGTCTTCTCAATTTTTCAGGTAGAAAAGAACTCACCCCAGCTACGACCTGACCATCCTCTCGGTTGCCGTACGCCCATCCTCCTGGTCTTCTTCCTCCCCATCCTCGCTGCGACGTCTTCCTCCCCATCCCTCGCTGGACGTCCTTCCTCCCCAGCCACCTGGACGTCTTCCTCGCCCACCCTCCTCCGCGCCTCCCTCCACCTCGCCGCCCATCCTCGCACCGTCGCCTCCTGACCGTCCCCATTTGGGGATAGCTTCATCCATGAGCAGTAAGACAAGTATAAACGGTGAGGAATCTGGTCCACATCTGCAAAGTATGTGAATACGCATGCATGAGTGTAGCGTTGGCAGAAGCAGCACCTTTTAAAGACGTCGACGAATACGCGATTGGAAACTGTGAAATGAAGGTCACTTGTTTTGGCCTCCTTCGTAACGTGCGGAGAACAAAATAGGTGGAAACGATGAGTTACAAATCGATTTGTTGGTAGTCACCAATCTGTAAACTCATTGATTCGTCGGGCTTTCTGCTGTTGAACTGGCTGTTGGGAGAAGACTGAACCATTTAATCGACAGACGCGCAGTTGCGATATGAGAAAGGGTTGAAGGATGTGGCAGCCCGGATGAGCTGTGTAGCCTTGTTAACTCCTGAATGAGGCACGACTGTCGACTGTGGCGGCCGTGAAAAGGAGAACTTAACTTTGCTCTGTTCATGAAGGTCCTTGGTGTAGAATCCGTTGCTGGTTAAAGGAGAGAGTTCACACACTGTGCTTGCCGAAATAGTGGTAGTTACTAGCACAAAATGTAGTGAACATGATTTTATTGGGATGTCCGAAAAGGTTCGAGAAATTCCAATCAGTGCATCCCTTACCAACGACAGCAAGAGATAGGAATCGATAGTTATGCTGAAAATCGTCCCCTTAACCTTTGGAAGCATTACTTCGCGTGAGGGTTGGAATGTAGTGATTACCGAAACAGTGGGGAGTACGCAACATGGGAAAGCGATCGAACTCCTACTACATATAACGTTGGAGGGCATTTTATTCAACATCGGTGACAGCTCCTCATCCCCAAGTTGATAAGCAACCAGACGGCGAAGGTGAGAAAAAGTTGTTGGAGTCGTGACCTTCGTACATTTTTCAATGTTAACTCCTACCGAAGATGGGAAATAAAACCACCCAGCATCATGACTGATCTGAAAACAGGGCACACCATTCGTTGGGGATTTTAGTCGAGTCCGTACGACCTCCCCTTCCTCCCCCTTTTTTTTGGAGGGTTGGTACGACCCCTCCCGTTCGGCCATCTGTCCTTCATCATCGAATCGAGCCTTCGATCGGGGTGAGGGGGGGATAGTAGCACATGTGAAACACGAAAAGCTGCGGACAATACGAACCCCCCCCCTCCCTTCTACCGATCCTCAACTTTTCCCCAACTTCCTGCCACTTTTTCCAAAATTTCCCGAAAGCACCTACTTTTTCCCAAAGGGAGTGTATACTACACATGAAACAAGAAAATCACGGAAGTCAGCCACCACTCCCACCACTCCTTGAAGGCCCTCTCCTCTTAACAATGAGCAAGTACGACCCCCCCCCACCAACGTCTGTAAATCGAGAAAAGCCAACTATCAAAATAAATTTTCCTCAGCACAAATACGACCCCCCCCCTGGCGGCCAAATACGACCCTCTATTGGGGATTTCCCATGCGCTGTCTAGAAACAGTCCTTTTTCTCAAGGGGTATGGTATACGATTTTGCTTAAGCGCGTTCGCTCCTTCTTTAAACTAGAAGAGCGATATTTTCTGAAATCTATCCGGACAACCTACTGCCTGTCTTTAGCAGTCCATATCATCACTTCTCATCCTTCTTCAGTGTTCTTATCACTGAATCTTTAACAGTCGCCTCGTCGGTTAATGCCGGTACCCCTCCTGAGATACGGCCCTGTTTTACCGGGCGAGTGCGACTTCGCCGCGTGTACCTTTTATCACATATTCCATTACTCGACTAATATCCGGCTTTTATTTTACCTGTATCCACAGTCAATGCCCTTGACCAATAACATCATATTGCTATTTCTAACACAACAC